TTCCATCCTACAGAGCTCCTCCATGAAAACAGACAGACAGGGCAGAGGCACACAGGCAGGGCTCCAGTCCCACACGCCGGGCTCCAGCCTGTCTGCCACCTGCCACCCACGGGCTTGAGCAAATGGTTCCCCTGTGTGTGATGCTTCTCCATCTCCACCCACAGCAAGCACTCCCCCCAGGGCTGCTGGGCCACATACAGTGACACAGCAGGGCCACCAGGTGGTGTGGCGGTTAAGGCACTGGATTCCCATTTGGGACTGCAGTCTGGGTCCTGGACCTGGTAGCTGGCTATCTCACCTTCTATTTCTCTCTCAATCTGGTCAATTTAAAAAAAGAAAAAAGAAGAAGAAATACAAATTTAAAAATGTTATATCATACAAAATAATACATGGAGAGCATGAACCATAGTGCCTCGGTCCGTAGTGGAGACGAGGAAAACTGTGTCTTGAACAGAAAGTGTTGGCGGAGCTTGACTGTGGCCTCATTAGCAGTATTAACTTATCTAAGGAAAAAAGTGTGGCCCGATGACAACGTGGCACTTAGACGAGGAGCTGGCAGAGAGGGACTGGGCTTTGTCCATCTCCATGGAGGGGAGGGAAGACACTGGTCCAGAGAGGCCTTGCACAGCCTAGACACTAAGCGGGCCTCTGTCCTGGGGCTCAGGGCAGGTCACACCAGTCTGCAAGAACACATTTCACGATGACCCACCTCTACCTGTTTGCTTGGGCTGGGGTCTCCAAGGAGAGTTCTGAGGGCTGGAGAGACTCCCCTAGCACACCGACAAAGGCGTGCCCTTGACGATGGTTATGAGCGGCACCAGCACGGCCCCGGTGCCCTTGACGATGGTTATGAGCATCACCACCATGGCCCCGGTGCCCTTGACGATGGTTATGAGCAGCACCACCACTGCTCCGGTGCCCTTGACGATGGTTATGAGCGGCACCACCACGGCCCCGGTGCCCTTGACGAGGGTTATGAGCGGCCCCAGCACGGCCCCGGGAGAGGTGGCACTAACTGTAGACGTCCTGTGGGCGGGTGTCCTGAGTGTGCTGGATTCTGGAACACCAGGAAAGGAAGTTTCTGGGGCTCACCTCAGGTCACGCCGTCTGGGGAGAGGACCTGGCCATTCTCCCCAGCCTCAGCACAGGAGTGGGGCTTGCAGGTCAACGCGGGCCGGGCCCACAATGAAAGCTTGCTGTGGCCCAGAATTTCACAGGACTCACCCAAGATTCTCCTGAAGAGCTTAGAAAGGAGCTCACTGGGGACCAGCAGTTGGCGTAATGGCTATGTCACTGGACTTCCATGTAGTCGACCACGGTTCGAGTCTTGGACCCAGTGGCTTAAACTCATGCTGGGCGTGTGTGCG